ATATAAATGTGTGTTTTTATTAGTTTATTCCTAAAAATCAGGCGAAAACTTATGCTTCCAGCAATAATTCAACATTCAGTTTGTTGTATGAACTTTTGCTATTGTTTTCAATAATATGACAATATGTGCATTTTTAATCTTAAATCTCGATATTAATGAATATTCACATAGATATGAATTAATTCTACACCAACTTTACTTTATTAACTTTTTCTTATATAAAGAAACAATATGAAACTTTATAAAGATTGGGAATCTTAATTATAGGTTGTGAATACAAATTTGATATATGAAAGTACTTTCACATATCCTAATATTAAATTATCTCACATAATGACACTCAATCTCCATCTACTACGAAATTATTAACAAGATCCTAAGGGTTGATGATATTTTTTTCTTGAATTTATTGTTTATATTATAATCACACAATCTTATATTACTTTATTTTATATTAATTGTGGTAAAACTTCAATTAAGACTTCTCAAGCTGATACATTTAGTAATGAATAAATGGACAGTACTAATGACTTCTGGAATATATTTTTCCTTAGAAGAAGTGAAACATGAGATTTATGAATTGGTTTATAATTGTGAAATATGATTGAATATTGTGAATTTCATTTTTTTTCAATTTACCGAATTTGCGTTTTTTTTTTTATCAATGCGAGTTTTGCATGGATTTTTATTTAATTAACAGTGCATCAATCTGGCGATGTCATCATCGCGTTGTAATAAATAAAATTTATCATGTTTTAATGGAATGGTAACGTGATAATTAAATGTGTGCGAACGAGCAGAATGGAAAAAAAACACACACACAAACACACAGTAAATATATATCTACACATCGAAACACAGGCAAAACTGATATGATGTTTTATACATTGTGTGTGTGTGTATATATGGGGGATCCCCCGCTGAGGAACGTCTAATAAATCCATCAGTTGTAACCGAGTGCGGACGCGATATCTCTAACCCAGTATAGCCCCACGTTACAAATCACCCAGATACGTAACCAACCAGAGACTCCTCACACCCTCGTGTTAGGACTTAACGAGGAAACGACTAATCTTCGCCACCTCCTCCAGCTTACATTATTATTCGATCGGGAATCGCCCACCCACAGAAACTTGAACCTGAACCTCTGCCAATTTCCTTACTACTGAATTACCGACATATTTGCATTGCGTTGGAATGCCATAGTGTATTAATAAACAATTTCAATTACTCTATAAACTTACTGCGTTCACAAAATCCCTGAATTCCCGATGCAATGCATTATACATATTCAAAACGAAACTAATTCCTCGTGACATTTGCCTCTCATTTTGTATATGCACATACATATTTAAAATTTTTCGGTACATTTAATTCACGCCGAAATAATCCGCTCTTTTATTTACACAACAAAACGATATTTGCTGTTTCTATTTTATTTACATTTATCAAATTATATTTTCCCATTTCATTATATTAGATTATTTATTAATAACAGTAATAGTTTATTCGTGAAATTTATTATAACATCACAACTATCATTTACACTTTTGAATGATTAAATAATAGAGGTGACATAAATATACTCGCAGCACGGACCACATGCTAGGCGTTAGACCTCCTGTTGAGAGACATCGTTTCTATGATATAGAAAATGTAATGTACTACACGATGTTAAGCAAATTAAAATTGTATTTCGAAAAAATAAATCGCAGATCCTTTTGTAACAATGATTTTAATACAGGACTATTGACCGCAATCTTTCCGATCAAGTTTATAATAAAGTTTGTAGCAATTCATTAAAAGCTACGTAATTAATTCGGAGATAAGACACTAAATGTGTGAACATAACTCAGGCATATCGGACACTTCATTGTCCCGTCCAATAAATAAGAGTTTCAAGTTACTAAATTAGACAATTAATTCAATTGAGTAATCTAAAGAGGATAGTGATTAAGTCTGCATTATTTTATTAAAGCACTTAACAGCAGAAAAAATATATATCTTATGAAATACTAACAATAACAATCAGTTATTTAAATTGATTTTTTTTTTAAATTATTTATATACAATTTTTACACTATTTATTATAGATTTTTATTATTCTTTTCCTTATGTGTATGCCCCTCAGGTTCGGTTCTTTCGAATCCAACACATCATTTTTATTTTGAACTTCTTTATGTCGTTTTCTATTCTTATTTTCTCTAGAACCATGTTGTACTATGCAACGCCATGTACCAGCAAACTTCTGTTCTGAATTTCGTTCCATTCTTATATTTCTTCTAGTTCTCGTATAATGATCATGGGTGTCGCAGCCGAAAGACAGGCTTATCCGGGTCTTATTTTTTTTACTACTTTGTGTATTAGTATATTTGTCTGTACCTCTAGATTGATTGATTGAATTAAAAATAATCGAAAATATTTTTGAATAATATACAAACTATAAATGCTTCAAACTATAATGAAAGTGAATATACGAGTATTTCTAATGGAAATTATTGATACTAACCTTAAGTAAAAGCTTAAGAACTTATAGATTGAAAAGATTTATATAAATCTATCTACGTTTAAACAATGTTTACTCAATAGTAAATTATAATATATTATAATTTGTAAATGCTTTCTTATAACTGAAGATAAATGATTATTTTCTTTGTATTTAATTATATAAATTCATTACGTCTTATTTAGAGTCAAAATGAATATGATATTACGAAGTGAAGGTGAGTTAATATTAAATGTTTTTGGAATGTCGGGTAGAAGGGCCGAAATTAAATATGCAAATGTTGAACGTTGTAATACACGTATCCTTTGTTGTACGGTTTTCAAGTAGGGTTAAAATGCAAACTGCGCGTGTTATGCAAACAACGGAGGGAGGAGACGTTATAAATTAATTAATGAATTGCAATTTCTGAAATTAATGCCATAATAATATGTAAAGTATGCGGCGCGCGATGGTGGTCAGCCTGCGTTTAATATATCGGCCACCATAAAACATATATGGATAGTGTATGGTTACGGTACGATACGGTACGGTACGCACAGCTCTCTGCATGGGTATGTGTATATTATGTGTGTGTGTATACATGGATGTACGGGATGTGTGCGTATGTAACGCAGGCGGCCACCCCTCTAGTTCGCGATAAAATAATGGAAGAGGGGTGTTATATTGGAAAAATCGCCTGCGGTTATATTGTATATGTTTTACCCACCAACATAAATACAGGGGACCGTATCTCTTTTGCATCATTCTCATTTTTTTTCACACACTTTCCACCAGATTCGTTTCCAACAATTTTTGAACAAACAAAAATGTTTAAAATATAAAAAATGAAAGATAGAACTAAGAAAATATATGAAATAATGCATGAAAAATAATATTTAAATTGCTCAATTATGATTAATCTTTATGAGAATAATTAACACAATTAAATTTAAAATGTTTTTCGCGTAACTATAATTATCATTTTTTTATGTGAATACTTAATCTTTCTTTATGTTCCCTGTTTGTTTTTGTAAATACTCATAGGGGATGAAATTAACTGGAAAAAAATGCATTACCTTGTATTTAGATAACATTTTAAATTATATGCTTTAAAGCTTTTAGGTTTTTGTGTGTGTTTCATACTATTATGATCATATATATTTAATTTAAAAAAACGCGTTGTTTATATAACTAAATCTTGCATTATAATAAAAATTTAACAATGTTTTGCTGTTATATCTTTTTTTTTATTGAGTTTGATAACTCTTTTATATATTTAAAGTTTAAAAATATAATTTATTATATTAGATGGTGTGATGTTAATCAAGAGAGAAATTGAGTTACAAAGTATGAACTTTCAAGTCTGTTCTGAATTTCTATTGAAAAAAGAAAAAAGTGCTGCACGTCCACGCATAAATACGTCTAAATAAGTTGGGTATCTTTTTCGCTGAGGCGCCGTTTGCTTTATCGATAACATCTACAAACCCAATTTCCGAGGGCGAAATCGATCTTGCAAATCAGCGCTTTTAGGCAGCAAAACGCGATCGCATCTTCCTCCTTCTCAACAGTTGTATCTCTCCGGTCCATCATTTCCATTCTCTCTCCAGACTTTTTTCCTAACTTAATAGGAAAACTATTCGCTCTGGTTGATTGAAAAGCCGAAGCCATAGGCCTCGGGATTTATACGCGGCACGTGGAACCGTTTTATACTTACCTCATATAATGAGGCATAAACATTATACGACTCCACACACAATCATATAACCGAAACTAAACTCAAAGCCCGCCAGGGTCGTAAAAGGAAATGTTATAAAATTTAATGCTTCATTTGTTTATTACAATGGAAGTCCCGCGGGAACGACCTCAGGCGGTAAATCAATCGGGTTATAAAAATACATATATGTATATATATAACGGAAGGTTATCATTTCTTTTCGCCCTTTTCCCAACCCGCACACACAAACATATACGTTTTCGTTTTTTATTCGAGCCTAGTTTCTATTTTGGTATTTCGGCCGTCAGTTGTATAGTGTGTGATATGATTAAGGGCTTTGTAGCTGAATAAGCACATCTGTGAAAACGGCCAGTGTTAAAATTGATTGACAGTTATATGGCTAATCGGAGTTAATTCGAGCCTATTAAATTAGGGCGGGCGGGTCGCGTATGAAGGGTTGGAATGGAACGTTCATCCACCAGACCCCGATCATTTATCGGATACGGCCTACATTTATTTTCGTACCGTACGTCCCGCTCTTAATTAATATAAATACCCATCATACCTTTTACAGCCTCTAAATCTACCGAAACAACAACAGCGAACGAGCAGAAAAATAAAATACATATATTAACCTTTACTACGTCTTTGGAACCGAAACTTTTACGGTCGTTTTTACGGTTGGAATTAACAAAATAATGTCCTGTCACGAACCGTGAAATTGCTTTCTATATACACATCACGCATTATATAATTAGAATTCGAATCAATAAACTTTATGCTATGTCTGTTTTCAGGTGAAAGTGATGCTAAGGGTGTCGACCCCATCGAACGTGCCCTCCGCTGAAACCGGTGGCTCTAACAGCTTCTTCAGCCTGGACAAACGAAAGAAACAAGTCAATCTAATAGATCCTTCAGCATGTGGAGGATCCACCGCTCCGGAAGACAGACGGGTCGGCGTCGCCGCTCCCAAGATGTTCGCTTTTGATGCCATTTTTTCGCAGGACGACTCACAGGTAAATCAATATAGTGGTTTCATTTCTAAAGGGTGCTGGCTTGTAATGCCGAAGGGATCGAACGATGAATCGAAACAAAACAATCAAACAAAAAAATAACCCGAAGTATAGAGATGGAGAATTGTAGCAACAAAAAAAAACAACAGTCGGAATGTGCAAATGTATAGAGAATCCGTATCGCAAACCGATTTAAATTTCATTACGAGCCATTCATGATTTAATTAAGTAACATTCTCGGGGCTCCCGGACTGCCGGAATATTTGATTCGGCATACCAATCCGACTGGAGGGATCCTTTAAAGAGAGGCCCGTTTTAACGAGCCTTTCACAACGCACACGGCACTTTATTATTGCTCGCTGATTAACACGCCGGATTCGCGTTATCACGTATGCAAATTGGACCGCGGCCATCCTGTTTGTTTTAAGGGCACATCCTGCGTACGGCCAACCCATCGTAATCAGCACCGATTTTCCGACACACACACTAAAAAAAAAACAATATTTCTGTCCGTTCTCTTTCACTTCTTTCGCAGGGAAACTGAGTTATATATTTTTGTTTCGTTTCTGGGGGGGAAACAGTGGAAAGGTAAATATTTGAAGTTTTCGAATGTTTAACGAATCGTGAAATCCGTTGGAAATTGTAATGAATAGGTAACGAAAATGACACAAAGTTTCAGCGCGCTCAGACCTCGAGGTTTTATAATAAAAACTTGTATTAATGGTATCATTATAAATTAATGCATTTTTATGTATTTTAACTAATAGATTTCAATAAAATAGAACAATAAAAACTAATCAAAATTAATATATTTCGAATGCATAAAGTTATAAATACTTAAATATTTTGAAAAAACATAGAATTAATGTAAACTAGATTGTAAAAAATCTAAATTTAATACAGATCCTATACGTTTCAATACTCGCTTAATTCTCTTAGTTTTTCTTTTATGTGGGTGAGGAAACCATCATTTTTATAGTAAAAACTTGTATTAATAGTATCATTATAAATTAATGCATTTTTATATATTTTAACTAATAGATTTCAAAATAATAGAATAATAAAAACTAATCAAAATTAATATATTTCGAATGCATAAAGTTATAAATACTTCAAGATTTTGAAAAAACATAGAATTAATGTAAACTAGATTGTAAAAAATTTAAATTTAATACAGATCCTATACATTTCAATACTCGCTTAATTCTCTTAGTTTTTCTTTTATGTGGGGTGAGTTAAAGGAAGAACATTTATTTCTTTCGCGAACACGGGACAAAATTTTATTTAAATTAGCTAAGGATTATTCTCTCTCGTTCCTTCTGCCTTCCTACGTGTTCTCACTCTCTCTTTCTCTCATTTGCTATCAGGTTTTGTCCCTTTTCTTCGGAGTATGTGTCAGTAGCTGAAACAATCCGAACTTAATTTATTATTTTCGTCGCATTGCAAACCCTCTCTCACTCTCTCTCTCTCTTCCCCTCTTTTCTAGATTTATATTTTATCTTGCTCCGGCGCTCGCAAGGGAAACCAATCAAAGTGCGAAGGGTGGAAGGCGGTTTCTCAGACGCAAATGTAAAAGTCGTGTTCAATCTTTTTAAGATTCTAGATTTCTTTTGAGTGGGAACACTTAGAGTGAAACTTTAACTATATAGCGGACGCGGTGTTATATAAGGGATTCGGATTATCCAGTTTCACTTTAATGCTCTGCGGAGGAAGACAAAAAAAAAATTGATGAAACAGAAATGCAATCCGCTTTCTTCGCGTATTATTAATAACAGATCAGTTGATTGGAGAAGAAGAAAGAATCATAATAGGACCATCTGTAGGCATTTGAACTAATGACACGAAGGTTTATTATCTGACTCGACCTAAGTGTAAAGAAAAGAATGGAAAAAGGGAACGGCATCGATCCTGCTTTAAGTGTTTATTGAATGAGATGGGAAAAAACTGGAGTAGAGTGAGAATGAGAGGGAAAGCGTGTCTTTTGTCTCCTTCTGGAACAAGCCTACATCACGTGCCTGTCGTAACAATATCTTTGAAGAACAGCAGCTTCTGCCTTCATCTGTTCCCTGCAATATTCCACATTGGCTATAAATACAGGCGGCATTTACGGCCGGGATTAGTACTCGCGACACGGGCTAATTTCGAATTTACGCCGCTCCGATGTTACCTAACGTCGCCGCATTCCCTCAATATGTATCCACTTCACAGGATTTGCTATCTACCTATCAAATGGAATTAAATTATAGAATGCATCCTGCGTCTCCTCGTGTGGGAGATGTGTATATATCATTAGGAGCAGTATGCATTATAAATAACCAGGTGCTGTTCATCTCCTCACTGAACTTAATCTATATTTCGACACGATCAATTATTCAACAAGAAGTATAAGACAAATGAAAAATAATGAAGATTTAATTTGTATATTTTCCAATTTCATATTAATCATAATTAAAAATAGTGACGGCAAATAAATAAATTTGTTCAATGTGAAGTTACAGCTTATATAAAGCAGACGTAATTTTATCATATATGTGTTGTGTACTTCTTTTGATATTATTTTTCTTTTGCTTCCAGACTGAAATATGTTCAAGTGCATTGACTGATGTAATCCACGCCGTAATAAATGGGACGGACGGATGCTTATTCTGCTTTGGTCATGCCGGCCTGGGTGAGTAATAAACTAAGAACGTCCATTATACCGAAGTCTAGCATCAGATCCGTTTTATGAACTGTTGCGAACCATAAATATGAATGTTTCTTTCGGAAGCGGGAACTCCTAACAAGAAACTAACAAAAAATATATTCTAGTTTATAGTGTAATAGTGGGACAACGTAATAGAATAAAATGCATGGCGGTTGCGAAATATGAGTCGCATCGTTATGCAAGCATAAAGTTAATAAATATCTCCAGAAGAATAGTTTCCTATATCGTCCCGTAAATTTTCGCTACGGCAGGCGAACCATAAAAATCGTGCCACATGTGCTTCACTTTTCTCCCGTTTTTTTTTCTTTATATTGTAACCTCCACTCCGGTACTCCAGTTTACACCCCCTGGTAATAAATAAAAGCTGCATATCGTAATTCGTATTGCCTCCTCCGAATGCATGCTGTCGTATTTTCGTTTTGCTTCACTTTGGTTTATTGAAGGGCAAAACAAAGCCGCGATCCGCGTAAATTACACCCGGAGACATTTCTGTTCTTCTCCTCGGATGCGCCTTCAAGCATTTCCACTCCGCCGTTTGCATTCAAATGGGTTATTACATGAAACCTTCCCCTCAATCCCACCGTATGCTCATCATTCCGGCGCCCTTTTAAATCTGGTTTACCACCTCGAAAAGTGGAAAGCAAATATTCCACGCAACCATCATATTTTTTTTCTGGATAAGCGAGCTAAATCCATTAAACAGTTTAATAATTAAAAAATGTTTTGCAATCGAAGCGTGGAATTGTGATGTTTGCTATTGCGTTACGAATTTTTTTTGTGCGCTTTGGTGGACGCGCCGGGTTCTCGCGGGAATTGCTATCCACTATTAGTCGAGTTTAAATAAAATATTCATTCGGTTAAAAACAATGCCGCTCTTTTATACTTCACCCTGGCCTACACTCAAATTTCATACTCGCTCCGAAGCTATGCTATGTTTGCTTTGCATTTTTTTTTAATACAATCAACGCGTATTGATATCAAAATAAAAAATATCAGGAATCTCATAATTGGAATCTTACCCTGATGATATCATTTTGTCTTATTAGAAATAATATTCTTTCGATAACAGACTGAATCATATATATTTGAATTTTGATTGAAGTTTTCTTAAGTTTTGAGATATTGATGATGATATTTAGCATAAAACGGGGTTGTGCAGGATTGAATGAGCCGGTGGGGTTTTAATCAACGAAATTTGACGCCGCTCCACCTCCTTTTAATTCCTCGACTAATTAAGTGGGTAAACAGTTTTGTAAGTAAGATTGATCCGTGCTAGGGGCGTTCGTACGCAGCCTCCCCTCCCCCCCCTGCCCGAAATGAAATAACTGTTAATTGAAATATTCGTCTCGATGTTTATAATTATTTGCGACTGGCGCCACATTAATCCCGATGTCTCCGCCTGCTTGCTTAATTAGCTAACCGTTTTAAACTAATGGCAACAATCGATTGTACCCCCATAACCGCATCCCCCTTTTACACCCTTCGAAACCCCCCAACTAAACCCCCCGTATGTGTACACATTTCGGATGCAATCTCTACGCTTTTCGCGTTTCAGCTTTGCAGTGATTGAAACGCAAATATTTTAAACGGAGATTTATCTTTTTCACATATCGAGTATACTAGAGTCTAGAAAGGGTACGCGAAAAATTTGCAATTTGATGAAGTGCGCGCGCTTTTTTTTGTATTTTTTTCCGTTTTTCCACCCCCCGAATACGACCCGGCATTTTTCAGAAACCCGATAAGCCGCGCCAAATCCTCATGGGGCATAAATACTTTTCTCCCCCTTAGGCTGCAAGATTACCGATCGACTTTAAAATGCCTGGACTTTAAGCGTTTTAAATTAGTGACGATCCAATTTGTTACTTTTAATTCATATCGGATACGTGAAAAATTGCTTTGTTTGCAATTTTTACATAAAAATACGCGTATATATGTATTGGGTCAGTGTTAATTAATCTATTCGGATGGGATGGAATGTATTATATGAAATTCGGGACCGTTGAATAACTGCTGGTTCCGGTTGTGAATGCGGCCCTAGGGCCCAATCGACAACTCAAATGTCCACATCAAAATGCCGTTTTCCATAAAACTAGTTAACCGTGGGGGTGCCGGGCCTTGTATTCATTCATACGGTACCAACATATTCGTTGATGTTTCACATGCGATGACAGTGAAAAGGGTTCACGACTCACCCTATTATTTAATAATTCCCGGCTCATATTAACTAACTTCCGCCAACCAGAGGATTTCCTTTTTTTTTTTTTTGTAAGCTAGAAAATCAATGAAAATCTTTACACGAAACATAGTTTTATTATGAAAGATAAATAAAGTACACTTTACGATTCACATTCATCACAAAATAGAAACAAAAAAGCGTAATCTTTTTGTTTTTACAACTACCGAAGATATAAATTACGTTGAATACTCAATCATGGATGACGTAAATAGCTTCTTTTGAATGTTTATTTATTTGATATACGGGTATTATGTATTACTTAATGAACTGGAATTGCCTCGCTTTTTATTTTGTATACATTTTTTTGTTATAGGTAAATCGTATACGATGTTGGGATCGCCGGAAAGCGGAAACACGCTGGGCATAATCCCCTGCGCCATTTCCTGGCTGTTCAGAGGGATCAATGAGCAAAAACAGAAGACCGGTGCCCGATTTTCGGTTCGCGTGTCCGCCGTCGAAGTTTGCGGCCCAACAAATCAACTTCGCGACCTCCTGGCTGGACATTCTAATGGTAAGTTGGTGGATATTTGTTTTCTGTAACGACCCATAAGTATTTCCATGCCGTTTATCACAAAACCGACGGCATTCCGGCAATTCTTTCTCCGCTGCTCTCACTCCCTAGGTGGTTGTTGTTCGCTTTTGTTTTTTTCTATCTTGTTTTTGTTTGTTTTTCAACTGCTCGAGTAAAGAGGGAGAACGGTTTTTCGGATTTTAATTAATCCGCTCGCTTTATAGTTGGCCGTGTATGCAAGAGAGATCCAACCCTTTTGTTAATTAGTAACATTCCAGGATGCTCCCCATCATCAGTACTCCCGCACGATTTGATAAAAGGAAGGTGCACAAATATTAATTTAATTATTAATTCTGTCTTAGGACGGATTGGAGCATTTGACTTTGATGGATGAATTGCACAAACGAAACTGAATATCTCATAGATCATTTTACCTTTGTTTATGTGTAATCTTTTTCGCAGATACGCTTTTACGAATTTGTAACAACTGTGTGCATGGCTAGACGCATAATCCAAACACAAAGGGAGAAAGATTTATACCGCGTGAACACACACATCCAACACAACGCTTTTCATCTTACAAATAATTACACCGTCAGTTATACTGACTTCTATAAAATATAACTAACAACTAAACTTCTACATATAGAATATTATAAATTATTTAGCAAAAGTATATAATAGTTTATTTATAAATGAAATATTTTCATTGTAAATTTTATAAAAAAAAAATACATTTTGTACTTGGTTTGGGGTCCGGAATGTTATTAGTCGATTGAACGAGGAGGACCATTTGTAATTAGTGATTCATTAATTGAGACCTGATTGAATGGATAATGTGAAAATAATTAATTTCCTCTCAGGTCGTTCTTTCTCCATTTTATTCGTCCACTTTTTTTTTCTGCAGCTGCCTTCTTCTCTCTTCTTGTCTCTGCAGTCGAGTTTAATTTGTAATTTCTCGTTCCCGGTTCTGCGTTTCCCTCAAGAGAATTTTTAATCAGATATACTTAGTAATAACTTTACAAAATGAAAAGAATAAAAATATAGATGAAATATTTTCCCCGCTTTTGTTTTATCGAATTCCGCACACAGGAGAAGGAGAGCATTTCTGTTTTGGGGATGTCGAGTGCGTGGGTGGGTGGATGCGATCAGAGCCAATAAACCGCATCTGCCGCAGCTACGACATCCACTTTTATTGCAATTTGTGAGACAATGTGTAAGACACCTTGTAAGAGGCTCGTTTATGGGGCCCTGTTTTAATAAGGAGTCCCCCTCTCAGTCGTATGTTCAACATCAGTTTTTCTTCATTTCTTCTATTCGCCATATTTTAAAGATTTACTATGGTAGCGTGCTCTTTGATCTACATTCTATCGGGCGCCTAGATTAAACATCAGATTTAGAAGATAACTAACATGTCACGAATACGTTTTATTATTCTCTCTTTCTTTCATTATGGTGTAACGTGAAAGCCATTGTTTTTCGCTTGTGAAATTATATGTTTTCAATTTAGCATTGTCAGAACGGGCAGTAAGGCTTGTTTTGTGTTTCGTGTGTTACAAACGGAAAATATCACGGTGAATAATTCAGTTCTTCCGTTGTTTCACGCGTTTTCCATTTATTTCCATTTTGCTTTCTACAAACATAATATTTCTTTATAATTTAATAAATATGTATTTAGTATTATTAAACATATTATATAGAAAGAAGAAACTTTTATATGATATAAAGTTTATTGTTAATAAAAAATAAAATGTGGTCAACTTTCACTTTTGTCCTATATAAGTTTGAGTAAAACGCTTGATGTTAATTGCAGATTCTGAGCAGTCCCCGGGGGTTTATTTGCGAGACGACCCTTTATTTGGCAATCAACCTCCGCACTGTGAACTTCGAGTGCCCACAGCTGAAAAGGCCGCACATTACTTGGATGCTGCCGTGGAATGCCGATCCCCGACACGTGAAGACGCCCGGGATTCGCATCTGTTGTTCACGCTTCACGTTTACCAATACTCTGTGGCAGGAAAAGGCGGAGGTAACTAACTAGAATACTTATCTCGAGGAAAACGACCTTTTATAAAAACGTACCTTATGGCGACGTCTAATTGGTCGCGATCGCGCGGGGTATTTAAATTTATGATAATTGGATTCCTTATCAGCCCATTTTATATAGATGTATATTTGAGTGGTAAGTGGAGGAAATTCAAGGGAGAGAAAGAAAGAAAGAAAAAAAGTCCCGAGAAGTTCTCGCTTATCCTTAAATTCTTGTTATCTGAGTATTTCCTTACTGAAAAATTGTTTCAGTCGCCGGCGGCAGGAGTCGTCTGCATTTGATCGACCTGGGGAATTCGGAGCGAGGAAAAGCGAGCGGCGGAATTCCGCTTTCCGGCCTGGGTAACATTCTGCTGGCGATTTTCAACGGCCAGAAGCATCTGCCCTACAAAGAGCACAAGCTCACTCATCTACTGAAGGACTGCCTAAGTTCACTCACATGCCATGCCGCGATGATTGCACACGTGTCTCCTTACGCCAACAACTACTCAGACACATTGACAACCGTTCAGCTGGCTTCTAGGATACATCGCATGCGACGGCGTCGGATTAAATTCGTTTCAGCAGGCACAGGAAACGGTTCCGGCGGTAGCTCAGGGGAAGAAGCCACGAGGACGACAGGCACGAGCAGTGAACCAGATCCATCAAGTAGCGATTTATCCGCAGACACTGTTATTTACGTTGGTGCTGCAGACGACGCCACAGATGGGGAACATCCACCCGTATATATACCGAGTTTAAACTCAGGTGACAACAGGTGCTCTATGAGCAAAGCATTGCGAGGCTCAAGTGCCGAACAACGACCCTCCAAAGTTCCCACATTGCAAAAGTCAGAAGAGAAAACGCCAACTCATCGTCCATCTATTAAAACAGCGTGCCAAACTAATAAAACTTCACCGGGACACACGAATAGTCCTAAGTCATCCCCTGCACGAGCATCCACCAACAAGAACAAGCAGCAACCCCTCGACCCACCAAAGCACGCCACTAATGGGGCAAGCGACGAGCAATGGATCGACGGTCCACGAATTTCTAAATCTAAAGTCGCCGAAGCGCGACACTTCATGAAGGAGCCGTGTCACGTTAAGAAGCGGGAAACTTGGATAGATGGTCCTATGCAGGCTGAAGCCTCTACCGCCGGATATGGTTATATGGATAATCACAAGAAAAATATGATTCGTAAATGGGTCGAACACCAAACTTCACAAATACAACGAACAAAAACTGTACAACCAAGAGTCCAAGAAAAATCTAAGGAATTAAAGGAATTGACGCAATTTAAAACATACGACGAAGAAATTCTAAAACCAATAGATACAAAGAAGCATGAAATGGTCGAAGAGTGTGTAATCAGAACAGGATTGAAATTAACTAAAGCAAATTCAGCTATAATTCCTGAATGTCAAAGTCCCGAAGAACGTGAGGATGTGAGACAAATTGAAGACGATGACGATGATGAGGAAGAACCTGAACCGGAACTACCTCCAGCGTTACCGTTAATTCAACCACTGAGTTCTCGAGAGGTAAGTTTAGAGAGTTTAGATCAGCTTCTCAAAGAACGTCAAATCTATAACGCCGAATATAATAATCAAATACAGTCGAATTACGAAGACACGTCGGCTCATCAAAGTGACGATGATGAGGTTCTGGAAATTATAGAGGTCGAAGAACCTTTAGAACCCGTTCCCACTCAAGACTCTTGCTTACAAGTGACAGAAGAAGATATAGCATTTTGTATGGGATACGCCGAAAATCCATTACCAGAAGTAGACCAAGAAAATCCATTAGATCATCCATTGAGAATTCTAAGCCAGGAGAATTTGACAGTAGTCAGTACATTCACCGACTCGATGTCTGTGTACACTGATTTGGAAAGAATATTGCCAAGGCACAAATACGATCATAAATATGGTTTCTATAATGACGACTATGAAGATCCGGATAATCCAAGATACGATGAAACTTCACAAAAGAAATTCGATCAACTTGCGAGATTACACGAATTATACACAAGCCGTTTGGCTAAAGCCAATGTAACGAATTCACAGACGTTTCAACAACAGAAACAAAACCATAAGGTTTTGAGCAGATGCGAATCTCTTTCACTAACTGATATGCTCTATGGCGCAAACGATAATAACAGCATTTACAGTGAGCCGGCTTACATACCGGATCAAGAGAAATTTTGCCAGAATTGCCAAGTAAGTATATCACGTCCCGCAACTTCGCAGAATTGGTACGCTGATCCTCATTTATCTGCAAGTAGCATGGAACTCTCCAAGCACCAAAATCAACCGATCAGTGGTAGATTCCAGAGGTATTGCCATAAAAGCACAAAAGATATGAATTTAGCATACTTGCGCCATCCGGATGGAGCATCGAATCCCAATTTACGAGATGCGGTTGAAGAAAAACCACCCATCAATCTTCCAATCACTAAAGAACCAAACTTTACGTTACCTCTGCCAAATCTTCCATTAACCGAGCAGGTCAACAACAGACGTATGCTGAGCATCGAATCCGGTCTTGCCGCTATTAAATTGAATCAGAAATCAGAGGGTTATGATAGTGGTCACGATTCGACGCCGAGAACTTCCAAGCACAGCCCAGCAGCAATTTCTCGTAAAGCAGAAAGTGGATATGACAGTGTCATTCGTGATAGCGAGAGTTCCAGCATAGATTCAGACACCAGCCGACTATCACATAATAGACGAGGAAAATGCAAACACAAACATGAAAAATCGTTCTGTTCTTGGTTCCTAAATCCGTTCACCTGCAAATACATCGAGGAACCGCCAGAAACGCACTTCTAAACCTTGACCATCCATCATCATCACACTATTCCATTCTAATGAAATCATATCATGAATAAAACAGGGTGAAACTAGTGTACTTTTTAAGCAGCACCGAGTTTAAAAAAAAACGAATTCACTGTTTATTTCGCCAAATTCCGTATTTTTTTTCTGTATATATTGGAGATATTGGTGCTGCATTTAAATACACGTAGTTTTGTTTCTTTTCTAACAAAAAAATTAATAATATTTAAAAAAAAACTCAATCACGCAGCCCTAACTTCTTAAGACTACTCTAATACTCCGGGGATCAACTGACAAAATAATAATATCTTGCCAAAACTTTATACATGTAAAACGAAAATAATATTTAATGAAGAAAAATAAATAACTAAGGACATAATTAAGACTGCTTGTCAATTTTTTTGATCTCAGTATTTATTTCCGACGGATTTTTCACAACATTATTATATACACATATTGACTATTATATATTATATAAATTGTTTTTATGTAATTTTCTTTGTGATAAATTTTATTATATATAAAATTGAAAAAAAAAAAAAGATAATATGAAAAAGCATGCGAGGAAGGAGGAGGACTTTAACAAGACATTAAATAAAACTGCCTATATTGTATGTTAGAATATTTGTTTCATTATTATTATTATTATCAATTATTATTATTACACAATAATCATGTAATTAGTGTATATTATGTATTATGTATTTATTTCGATTTTATACTGTTATGCATTATTTCACTGTAACATAGCTGTTAGAATTATTATAAATTTGCAGTTGTATTAATTTTCGAAAGATGACGAAACAGAACAAGATATTATATTGAGAATTAGTTTTTTTTTTAATTGTCTACCTCTTCACTCTCCTATTAAAGCAATATAATTATCCTAATGTTATTAGTTTTTGCAATTAATTAAATTACAAAACTTCATTAACAACTTTTTACATGAATATTGAGACAAACAATTTATGAAAACGTTCATATTGACATTAATATATAAAATTTTCTTTTTAATATATTTGTATGTTCCTAAATCCAAGTAGAAATTGCTAATTATTGTTTGTAATATGTCTACATCTTTTGTCAATACTGATGATAAGGCATTGTCACAATGCATATTATATATAATAATACGTTAATTAGGATAAACTAAAATAGATAACGTTTATTACATTTTCTTTCTACGGTCGATAGCCCCAAAATGAGGCCAATAAAAGTAATAAAATAAATAAATATATTTTCTAAATAAAATGAATGTTCCAAGAGATTAAAATAAAAAGTTATATAATTATTTATTTATAGTAAAATGATATCTAAATAGGACTCTCGTTAATATTTCAACATAGCTTAGATATTATTTATGATTTCAGTTGAATCGCGCTCATTCACTTCATTTCAAAAGGCTGCGATTGTTGCAACATTTTCTTAGTTCTCTTTCTTCGGCGAGCGGAACTGATACTCACAGAGCAGCGGTATAATTTTGTTTTTCATTGTGTCAATACTTAATCACGCATGATAATACCAGACGATGAACTGTGAACTTATTTAAAATACGATAAGCTGCACTTACTTTGCTGCATTCTTTTATTAGTTTGTTCTCAAAATGCATAAAATGCACACCCTCCTCTGGGGTTTTGTGTTAATAGCTCTTTCTAGAGCTATTCCCGAATCGCTAATCTATCCTCCTGATGGTACACCTCTCGAAGTTGGCGACGATGTTTCGATTAACGTCGAATTGAAAAATCCAATCATTTTCTACGGAACAAAATATGATACGATTTTTGTAAGTATTAAATAAATTTAAAAGTTTATATAATTCGAATATTCAAGAATCTTTGTTTATGCTAACTCTCGACCTATTTAGTTAAATTCAACGTTTATCATGAGGTCAACTATATTTAAACATTGCAAGAGGTTATTGATCTTTCCATTAATTTAAAATTAAATAATATCCGTTACAGATAAATACCAACGGACTTCTTTCATTCGGAAATGAATTTCCTACATTCTTCAATATCGAATTTCCATTAGACTATCCTATTGTTGCCCCATTCTACTCAAACGTGGACACTACAAAGTCTGGAAATATATCCTACTATGAAACGACCGACAGACATTTGTTGGATCGTGCTAAGAGCACCGTACGAGATGCATTTACCAATTCGAATTTTATTCCAATTAGCATATTTGTTGTTACTTGGAATAAAGTTGGATATTACAAAGCTGGAAATGATTATCTGAACACCTTCCAAGTTGCAATCTACATTGGAAATACGGATTGTTTTGTCGAATTCTTATACCCTGAGAATGGGATTCAATGGATACAGGGTACAGGGGATGAATCTGGCTTACCTGACGCCAGATCACAAGTGGGTTTCATTTCAGCAGATAGAAGATTCTACCTGCTTCCTGGCTCTGGAAATGATCGAGTTCGATTCCTCGAAAAGTAATACTATAAAAAATATATATTTCATTTCCTTTATAATTAATTATCATTTTAGGAGATCGAATATGAAACTCCCCGGTCAGTGGTTGTTCCAAGTCGGAAACTTAGGTATTGATGAGAATGTAGTGCAACCCAATATTCACATCACTTCAAATCAACAACCCCAAACATGTGCCAATGCTACTACACAATGCAATATTCAAGCAAAATGCACCGATTATACAGCAGGATTTTGCTGTTCCTGTAAAAATAATTTTTATGGAAACGGTTTAAATTGTATCAAGAAAGGTATATTTCAATACAGAATTTCATTATCCTTGTTACTGTTATATTTAATATTTTTATTTCAGATGTACCATTGAGAGTAAATGGAAAGGTTAAAGCCACATTAAATGGTCTATCAATCGAAACACTTGATTTGCAATCGTATGTCGTAATGTCCGACGGTCGTTCATACACTGCAATGTCCAAAATTCCAGAACCAATTGGTCCAAATATTCAATCGCTGCAAATCCTAGGTTCTACTATTGGTTGGCTTTTTGCAAGACCTGTTGGTAACTCTCTGAACGGTTTTCAATTAACTGGTGGTATTTTCAATCACACGGCCGTAATTACTTTCCCAAATACAAATGATTCAGTCACAATCAGACAAAAGTATTTGGGATTAGACGTTTTCGATCAATTAAAATTAGAGACCATAATCACCGGAGATATTCCACAAATCCCAAATGTTAATATTGACATTAACGAATACCAAGAGGAATATACATACACATCACCCGGAGTCGTTCAATCCTCTGCCAATCATGCATTCGTTTATAGTTTTAACAAGCAGGTCATAGAAGAACCATACCACATCGTACAAACGATTACATTCGACTATTGCAAGCACGAAGAACTTCCGCTTTCTACAGTTTGGAAATTGAAAGTTGGAAAAAATTTCATTAGCTACGAATCTCGAGAACAAATCGTTCGATATGGAATGAGCAATAAAATAACTCCTTTTGAAGGTATGTTGATTAAAGTAGTCATATATAATTTACCAATTTATATGTATATATTTCTTTTTTTTAGAATATGATCCATGTTTGGAAGGACATTATCAATGTGGGCCAAACAGTGCTTGCGTTGTTGATGGCGATTCGTTCAACTGCTTATGTACACCAGGTTATCAGCAAATTTTAGAAAATGAATTGGAAGTTTGTGTCGATGTCAACGAATGTAATCTCGGGATTCACGATTGCGATTACAATTCCAAATGCATCAATGAAGTAGGCAGTTACCGTTGCGAATGTAATCCTGGATTCGTTGCGAATGGCAAAATATGCGAGAACGCCAAATCGTGCAACAACGTTCAATGTAATACGAATGCCGAGTGCGTCCAAAGAGGAACAATTGCAGTTTGTACTTGTTCGCAAGGTTATACAGGAAATGGACAGATTTGCACGGCAATAAAAAGTCAATCCTGCCATATCATGCATAATTGTTCACCATATGCTTATTGTCAAATTGATGAGGAGGTCCAGACTTACAAATGCTACTGTTTACCTGCATATGACGGCGATGGTTATACCTGTGTACCTTCAAAAGTGAACAAGGAAATTGAAAGGTGTATAATGGGAGTTTGTACGTGTCCGCCAGGTATGCGTAAAGAACCAAATACTAAATATTGTATAGAAATTCAATACACCACACCAGCGTATGAAGAAAATACGGAAATAAACGCATCAGAAGAAGACGAATTGGAACAAACTACTTTATACGGTTTGCACAAAGCGCGCTTAATTTTTGTTATTTGTTGTAACATGTTTAATGTTTGTAGATTCTTGTAACATCTTAAATAATTGCCATTCGAATGCCCAATGTATTTATGTAGAAAATATGTACAAATGCGTGTGCAATACTGGTTACGAGGGTAATGGTATTGATTGCTCCGAAACATATCAATGCTCTCAAGAAAGTTGCGATGAACATGCAACTTGCACATACAACGAAGACTATGGAAAATCAATGTGCGTATGTAATGAAGGTTTTTCTGGAAACGGTTATTCTTGCTACATCGAAACGGCTGGTATGTTCCTAAATATTATTAAATCTTATATTTACTAATATTCTAATTTAATTTCAGATGCTTGTACAAGCGATTACGACTGTTTAGAAAACGAAATGTGTCGTTATATAAACGAATCTGCTGTAATGGCATGCATATGCAGAGATGGTTTGGAAAGAGATTCTCAGCAGCATTGCGTAGCAATTAAGGGGACTTGCGGTGGTGGAACGTGCGTGGAAAATGCTGAATGCATATACGATGAGGAAATTGATACTTACTACTGTAATTGCAAGAAGGATTTCGTTGGATCTGGCATAACTGAATGCAGACCGAGACCAGTTGGTTGTAACGTCGACAACAATTGCGGCCTGCACGCTACATGCAGTTACAATTCTTACAACGGTAGCTATGAATGCGTTTGTTCCGAAGGTTTTCACGGTGACGGTTTCATTTGCTACGCTGAAAACAATTGTCACATAGATCCTAGCATTTGCCATCCAAACGCCGTATGCGTAACGAACGCCAACCGAAAGTACATTTGCGAATGCAATTCTGGTTTTCTCGGAAATGGAACGATATGTCATGCAGCTCCGAAACACGAAGGCAATTTCCTTTTGGTGAATCAAGGAATTGCCACATTAAAAGTCCCTTATGAGAGAAGCCGATACGCCGAAGGAAAACCAATTCAATTAAAATATTTCCAATTAGCCGTTGGTTTGGATGTAGACTGTTTCGCTGGTCGAGTGTATTGGAGTGATATAAACTTTAAAGCAATCCGAAGTTCCTCATACACCGGCTCAAATAAAATAGATTTCATTACGAAAGGTATATTAAATAATCTAGAAATTATTAAGTATATTAATAAATAAATTATTCTTAGATATTGGATCACCAGAAGGATTGGCCATTGATTGGATCTCAAGAAACATTTATTGGACAGATTCTACTAAAGACATAATCGGCGTGGCAAACCTCGATTCGAAACTAAGGAAAACCTTATTTAATACAGGTTTGGTGAATCCAAGAGGAATTGTTGTACATCCACAAAGAGGGTAATTTTACTATTCTATTAACAATTGTAACATTTATAAATTTATTTAATTGTAGAAAGATTTTCTGGTCAGATTGGGACAGAAATAAGCCGAAAATCGAATGGGCCAATGCTGACGGTTCTGGGAGAGAAATTTTCTTGCAAGGTTCACATTTGGTACACTTGCCAAATTCACTAACAATTGATTACTACACGGAACAACTTTGCTACGCCGATGCTGGTATTAAGAAAATCATGTGCGTTGATATCGACACGAAAGAACCTCGCGAGATGGCAATTAATTGCACATATCCGTTTGGAATTTCTGCAACAGAATCGAACATCTACTGGTCGGACTGGATTTCGTACGTTATTATTTATTATTAATAATATAACATTTAAAAAAAAAGTTTACTTAAAGCTAGTTATAATAGCAGCACTTGTATCTATACTTTAGTAAAATAAGTTATTTTAACTTTAAAGAAAAAATAAGACTACTACTTAGTTTTCTTAAGTTAAGTAACTAATTACTAAGCGGATTAGAATATTAACTTTGGGTGATAACTTTGTATATTTACATTTTTATCAAGTAATAATGGTGTTGTTTTGTTTATTTTTCAGGAAAAAAATTGAAGGACTCGACAAGTATACTTTGAAACGCATAGATCCTCCATTGGAAGTCCCATTAGGCGGCACTGGCAACAAATTGTACGGATTGGTATCAGTACCAGACAGTTGTCCAGAATTGTCGAACGTCTGTATGCATAAAGATCAATGCCCCGAAAACTTCATTTGCTTACCTGACGGCAAAGGCAGCAGATCTTGCGTATGCGGTAACAAAATCGATTCGTTTGAAAAAAACTGCTTAGAATAAGTTAATCACATATCCATATCAACACATGTATGTTATGTCAGTACATTTATAAATATATCTATAAATAAACATCCCTATATATATAATATATAATATTTATTTTAATGTAAAAGTTATTCTAGCATAGAAAGTCATCGAATTATGTTGCAATAAAATTAATTGATAATTATTTGATCTTTTCAGAATCGACGCCCGTCTCGGTTGGCGGTGAATTCTGCGGGCTAGAATCGTACGATCCTTTATGCTTCAACAAGTAATTCGCCAAGGATGGAATAGGATCGGCGGGTCTTTCCTTTGCCAAATACGAAAGTCCTTGCAGCAGGATTGGAACCACAGTCTGATCTAAATATTGTCTAGTCGGCAACGAAGAAAGATCGACGCGCGATTTTTTCGCCTGCAACTCCTCCTTGGATCCATCCATCTTCTCCATGATACTACAAAATAAAAACATTCACGTTAACTTGGTTGCCTACAAACAATTAAAAAAAAACATTTTTTTTATATATTAAATTGAATAAAAACAATTAGTTACAGTTGAAATTTAGTAACTAAAAAAAACATGCACATGGTAATTAACAACAAGCGTTTAAATTACATTATATACAATGTCATAACCTCAATTATAAAGCAAATATATAATGGTTATTACATAGTGTATAATATAATATATTAAATAAAAATACAACAGTGAAAAAATACACATGTGTTAAATATTATCATTAAATTGTTACCTTACTTATTTGTGAATTGTTTAATCCTTTTTGATGATCTTGAACAGTGTTAATTGGACAACTGAATATTGTCTTTACCTTACCAATTGAAGAGATGTTTATTTCAGAGTTATTCCGATAAGAATGTACCGGAATAATTTCAGATCTTTTGACACTATTGACTGTTCATTAGAAGCATACACAACAAGAAAATAGCAGTGCATCAAAACAAGTTTCTCCTAGAGGCGCCACCTATATTTGGATGTAACGGCAATTATCAAACAAATCTCGCGAATTATTTAACTATAATTATTTTAATAAATAAGATTGAATTTTATGTTTTTTTTAAGTATTTAGAAAGATATTTTGCAAATTGTTATGCATGGGATAATTGATTTGAAATTGAAGGTAGGGGGGGGGAAGAATAGTGGGTTGGACTTATGGGTAGAAGCATGCAGCCAGTCGCACTGACAGCTGAGTGTCAAAGGTGAAAACATAAACACAAAATGGCTGACGGGAGGAAAGAAACTCATATAAAGTAGAGCGTGAAATGAGTGTAGTAGACGAGTTTGTTCCGCGGAAAGTTTTCAGACGAAGAAAATTGTAATAATGCTCTGTTGAAGGGGATAGACAGTTAGTTGTGTTCGTGCGTTGCTGGTACAATCTTGTTCATCTTGTAGTTGTTATCCAGATATCCATGAATAATGAGCAAGTTTGCTGATTACTTTGTTATTTGCGGGCTGGATTTTAATTCTGGCTTAGAACCAGACAGACTCTCAGGTAAACAATAACTTAACGAAACATTGTTATTGATTCCTTCTTGATAATCTTCTATAATTTTCTCAAATATCTATAATATAATATATAATATTCCAATTGGGTTTATTTAGTAAATTTACAATTAAATAAATTAAATTTCAAATCTGCATGTACTGAAAATTTATTTTTATGTTTTTAATTTGATGTAAGTGGAAAGAAAAACATTGTTTAATATTTTCATTGAAGAATTACATATGTAATGTTGCAACCATCCTCATTGTCAAATTGAAAAATATGATGTAATTAGTTCAGTTCGTGTTGTTATTAATCAATAACCTTCGTTATAATATCATCAGTCTATTCCAAAAATAACATGACATATTTAATTTATAAATAATAGTCTAAATATATAAAAAAAATATTTTGATTTTCGTCATGATTTGATCTCGTTCATCACTAAATACAATTCATCGTTAATTTGACCAGATGTTTCATATCCTTTATCCATACCATGTCATTGTTATTACACTGTACACTTATGTGAATTAGTACGTTGTGATAATGTTACGTAGATACGACACGTTCGTGCATAATCGACAAAATTATGATTTTTATTGCATTAAAACAATAGCCTTTTGTATTAATGAAATTTAATAATTCCAATTTCATTCTGCAATTATTTTGTTTTGTAATAAATTTAGTGTGATCTGATTTTTTTTACTTTATTCTATTCTATGTTTTATTGTACAATCTGTTTCGTAACGGTTGTTGTTTTGTTTTGGTTGCAACAAACAAGTGAAATGTGCTCTATTAAAATTCCGGTAGTCTAAGTTTTTTTTTGTTTAGACTAAATAAGAAGCATACAAATACCATTTTAAAATATCCTAATTTAATTCATTTTAAATTGTTTGCACATAAAACTAACTACTGAGAATTATGAAAATGTAAATATTTTTGAAAAAAAGTATTTAAATTTCAATGTATATATTTACAAATCGTTAAAGTGTAATTATATAATTTATGGTTGTTTAGTTTTTTTTTGTCAACGGAAAAGTTATTAAATTTGTTTGTGTATTTTATCTATATATCTGCAACCACTTGAGAAGCCTCAATTAGTTCCGCAAATAAACTAAATATTTATATTGACAAAACTATTTGCTTTCTAGATTATGTAATTTAGAAAAATATATTGTCGAATACATATAATGACTAGAAGATGCGGTGTAGTTGTAGTGATAATTGAATTATAAAGAAATTATTGCACGTGCGAGTTTACAACTTGTTTTATTGTTCTCGGCATGAAATCTAAAAATGACGTCTTATTTATATCGTTTTTGGAATGTTATTTACGTCCTTCTTCTGCCGATAATAGTCTTCTGTACCGAGAAATCTTTTAAGCATGGATTTGCATCGAACAATGTTCTGGTTTTCGCTTTGAAAGTAACCATACAATTTTCTTCTCCTTTGGTTTCATGAATGGACCCTTTGTGCGGGCGTCACCGGAAAAGAAAAATAAAAGACCCTTTTCGAAGCACATGTGTGTTTGGTATCAGGACCCTTTCGGAAAGAAAAATCTACCTGATTACTTTTCTAAATATGTTCTATCCCTTATCGGCAAAAGCTAGTTTATTTAGAGACGAGATAAATATATTTTTATTCTTATCGACGTCAAGTAAATCCGCTATACAACAACAATAATGCTAGTGGCTGATCTAAGCCAAATATTTGCAAGATATCGACTCGATAAATGTTTGCACGACGTATGAAATCATCTTATCACTTAGAGCACAAAGTATATTTTGTTCTGGAAATATCAACATCATCTCTTCTTATAATGTTGATTCAAGATTCCGCATATCGTTTATTTTTTGTAAGAGAAGTTTCTTAAAACGTTATGTTATGGTATCATATTTATAATTAATTGTAGTTTTTTTGATTATGATTAATGGAATTTAAAATGCAAACACTGCCTGAATCGATATTCGCCTCTGGCATTAATCCAAGCAACTGTTTACCCAACGGACTTCGACGAATCAATGTTTGTTAGTAAAACATATTTTTTTTCTTTTTGATTTATAGGTGATAATTTACATTGCTCCCCATTGGAGCGTCCATACAAAACAAAAGCTCTTGCACATTATCCGGACAATGTTCCAAGCAATCCATTTGATGGATCCGCTGTGTCTATGGTAATTATCGCCTCTCATTGAAACAACCTTCGTTAGATTGAATAATGTGTATGTTTCAGCTTTGTCTGCCCAGTGGACTCAGGTTTCGAACGCAAAAACATTCTGTTACTCAAGCACCGAATTTTCATTCGTTCGTGATAACTCGAGAGGATGGCAAAAGATGTTACGGATTCAGCCTCGTGTTCTACGAGGAGGTGCGCAATCGGGACATCTGCAGCGCCATGCAGACTCTCCAAGCTATGTATGTTACTGAGCTATCAAGTGGTTTGAAAGTGCGCCAAGTGCAACAGACGCAATCACAAGGACCTCAGAGCCGCTCTTTGCCTAGACACTTCAAAATCAGCACGCCTAACCCATCCGGTGGTGTCTCGCTAACATACTACGATATTTCCAAAGATAAACTCTTTGTTTCGAAGAGCATAGCCATAATATGCCAAGTGCCGAACGTACATGCAGCTAAAATATTTTTAGAAAATTTGTATAGGTGCGTGCCCCGTAAACAATCGAGCATAAATACTCTCAGTTTGGAAAGTTACGTATTTAATCTGCTTTACGAAGTGCAACTTCCATCTGCTGGAAAAAGTTTACTGGTACATTTACCACCTAATGATCCTCATTTACCATTAGCGAATGCAGTCATACAATGTCCAGCTGCGCCGCTGGAACTGCCGCACTTGGACTACTCCTTGCGACTTATGTTCATATGGCTCGGAGTGGACATCGTCGTGCAGTTATTCACATGCCTTCTATTAGAAAACCAGGTGTTGCTAAGAAGCACGGACTGCCAAAGACTGATGGTCGTAGCGGAGGGCATAACTGCTCTCCTCTTTCCATTCGCATGGCCACATGTTTATGTGCCAATTTTGCCTGCTAGTCTGCATCATTTTCTAGACGCGCCTGTACCTTTTGTGATGGGTTTGCATGCGTCTTCAGACAACACAAAAGTAGCCAGCGAGGCTAGCCTTTGCTACATAGATATTGATAAATGCAAAGTACAATTGCCCGAGGAGATGGCAGCTTTTCCCCATCTCGAAGCTTTCACCGCGGAAATTTACTCGGCGCTAGATAAGTACGGTATTCATGTACCGAACACAGAAACCACGCGGACTAGTCAAGAAATTATGTCGAGATCGTGCACCTTGCCAAACAGGCCACAGAATCGCCGCAAATTATCCATTCATGATACACTCGACAGCGACAGACCTCCATCTCCACCTGGATCTGCACGGACAGAAGCCCTGCAGCGGATCGCTGATATTGTCCGAAGGACTGGCGTTGCTTTAGATAAAAATGAAATGACCCAACCGACCGATTCGTACGTCGAGGATCTGCGTTTCAACAATTCTCTTAGAGAAATATTTCTGAATCGTTTCGTTCATATCTTTCAATCGTACGAGAATTTTGTCATACTGCCCAACCAGCACGATAAAGAAGATTGGTTTAACAATCGAGATTCGATGCAGAATTTCGATAAAGCGTCTTTCTTATCGGATCAACCGGAGCAGCATCGTCTGTTCCTGTGGCGTTTCCTCGAATCCCAAATGTTTGCCACGTTAATAGACAATAAGATTCTGTCAACTTGGGGCGAGCTGGATAATAACTTGCTAATTTTTGACTATAGAATCAAATTGCTTAGGCAGAGATACGGAGGCGAGAATTTAATGAGAAGCTTGTGCTATGAGCCATGCACTAGCGCGCACGACACTCAACGAATGCTCGACAGGCGATTAAACAATCCCGATTTTGAAAGTCCTCCAATCAGAGAAATCCTCAGCAACAGAAATACATTCTCCAAGTAAGTTATTAACATCTATAGTATCTTCAACATACAGTTTTTAACACGCACGCAAGATTTTCTGGTAAATTGTAAGAACTAAATATCAAAAGATTTTGTTACTTCTGATAATGGTTATAAACATTTATAAAACTAAAAGTTTGGTTTGGAAAAACATTTATCTTTAATTTATCTTCGTAGACGGTTAAATATAAACTGTATTTACCAATGTTTACCATTTGAGAAAGAATAATATATTTTAGAAAAGTAAATATTATGAATCCTCTGATTGCAACCATATGCACAATATAAATTACATCTAAAAATAATCATAAAATGATGTTTTTTTTTTTGTATTTTGTATTTTTACATCAGTTTTATGTAATATTTATTTGATACTAGTATTGGGATCATTAAAAAAGCTGTTGCGTTTAATCACTATATACAATATACAACGAAATCACAGACTATAACCATATGTAGAAGTTTATTTGCTTTTAGATGTTTTCCTTTGCTGGATAGAGAAATTTTAAATAAAACACCCGTTGTTAACAAGGGCAGCATTCCAAGAGCTAGCGCATTGAAAAAGGGTGCTTCATTTTCTCGTCCCGGTTGTTTGAACATCGAGAAAAGCGCGAATAAAGAGAACAATCAGGAGATGACTCCGGCCTTGATTGCTCAAGCAAATTGGACCTTCGTCGAGAAACTTTTGAAAGCAAGTTTTTTTTTAAACTAAACTAGGACTCGTTCGTTTAATAGAGTGCATATTTTTTTTTCTAGGATTGTAAAGCCAAAACAAAGAGAATGCTACTGGCGAAGCTTGGAGCAGAAGGTGTCACCTTATCCAGCAACAATAGCGTTGATAATTCAGGCGCCGTCGAAGAAAGTACTTTGGTCGCGTCGCTCTGCGACTTTCTCGAGAGAGTTTGGTCCCATGGTATGCAAAAGAAACGCGGTAAATCGGCACTGTGGGCGCATCTATTGGCGTACCAAGAAGCTCATAAGAGTACCAATAAATTAGATTCCCAATATTATAGCCATGGTATGTACGAAATTATGCATTTGCGCTTTTTTTTTGCTGTTTATTATTCATCTTCTGGTGGCGTTTGTTTTTCCCATTTGGTTATGGTTATAATTTCTTTATTATTTTCTTCAATTTTTTAGGGCTTTTTATGTTTTTTTTTATTTTATATACTTTTGTTTTTCTCTGCAATAGTTCGTTTAATTCTAGCGGAATTATCCCGATTGGCACTAAGATTAGAGAATTGGACTAGCCCCAATACCGAGAATAAAAGTATGCGCACAGATTTACCACCACTTCCGGAATCTATGTTAATAGATATGGCGTAAGTAATAAATGAAAAATATCTTTATTTCGGAATTCGTAATTGTGTAAAATCATATGTTCTTTAATAATGTGTTTTTCTAGTAATATTCAAGCTATGTCGGACGTGAAAACTGGGATAGGTATGGCACGGGCATGGGTTCGATTGGCTTTGGAGAAGAAGCAACTTTCAAAATATTTCAGGATGTTACTCTCTGATCATAGTTTACTGAGAGGACAATACAAGAGATCGGCATTTCTGCGATGCGAAGAAGAAAGGGAACAATTCCTATATCATTTGCTTTCATTGAATGCTGTAGATTACTTTTGCTTTACTAGTACATACCCCACAACTGGTAATTTATAAATTTTGGTTTTCCTAATTCTCAAGCTAAATAGATGAGAAGGAATTCCATTTAAATGTAACTTTTAATTAATTGTTGAATATATATATAATTTTAGTGATACCCTATCGAGTTGTTCTCGTGCCAACTAAAAAAGGGACCACATCATCAGCAAATGTATGGATAGTTCTCTCTGGAACTTTGTCAGAGACTAAAAGGGTTGCCGTGCCGAGAGCAACACTAAATTTCGAACACAGAGTAAGAAGTTTCGTATTTATATTTTATCTGTGTTTTAACTTTTCGAAATTTATATAGAACCAAAACTTGGGCGTCCTTACGACAATGAGAATAGGTCATGATAATACTGGAATGTCCGCGAAATGGATGATCGATTATGTTCTTGTTAGAAATGAAATCACTGGTCACACTTATCAGTAAGTCTATAATATTATCAGTGTTTGTATTTACTTAATTATTGATATAGGTTCCCTTGTGGTCGTTGGTTGGGACGTGGAGTAGATGATGGTTCAACGGAGAGGCTTTTGGTTGGGACTTTAATGCCCAGAACCGCTAACGAGGAACCAACTTTGACTAACACTGGTAGTATGGGCCGTAAAACGCCGAGATGTCAATCCCCTGGCCCTCCTAGAAATGAAATGAAACCATCGCAAATACAACATATGTTAGGTATGATTCGAATATCTGAACAATTTATAAAATTTAAGCAATTATTTTCCTTAGGTGATTGTGTAAACAATATTGTTAAATGGCATTACCGAAGAAATTCAGAAAGGAACACAACTTTAACAGCACTTTTGTGCGGAGATTCGGGGCTTGTCAAGTGCCTAGAATTAGTATTTCTCCTTGGTTTTAAGTCGGCTAGGCTCTTTGTCTTTAATCATTATCTTTGGGATTATTTCGGTAAATTGATTTAATTATTGATTATTAACAAATAATAATTATGTTTTATTAGTACGCGTAAAGGAGCATTTTGAGATGGAACTGTTGGAAGAAGGCAATGGACGCAGCGCTAGTTTAGAACGTAATCATCAAGAGACTGTAGCAGTTTGGAGATGCTACTGCCATTTAGTGGAAGAAATCCAATCTGCGAGCAAGGCTTTAGGAAAAGATGGCAAATTTCAACTCTTTATCTGCTTGAGTGTTAGGTAAAAACATACAATTGGAAATAATAAACATTTGCTAATTTTGTATCGTTTCAGGGAACATTTATTGCATCGAATGTTGCTGCCAATGGCTATATGTAAAGTTACGACAGAAATGTACGAAGATAACTCTTTTCTACGGAACAGAGGTCTGTTAACCTTTTTAAGACAAATTTTGCTTCCCTTGGATGACTTGGATGTAGTATTGGAGAATTCTGTAACGCACGGTATTTCATCCCCTGCTATACATTAATCTGTTCTAGTCCCTGTTCCTACTTTCATTTCATGCATAAACGTAATTTGTCTAAAAAAAATAATAATAACTAAATACGGGTCAAAATTTTATGATAGAGCGGATTTTTTTTATGAATACTCATTTATTTGAATCACACGAATCAATTGATATTAATTTATTTTTTTATGAAGAATATATTTTTTTTTAGTTTACTAATCTAACATATATATATAAAGTTAGTTACATATAGCAGCTATGAATATTTTTTCTTCTGAAATGACACTATATTTTTTCTATTAATTTATTTAGTCTTAAGTTTATTCTCTCTCTTTCTGAATAATTCTCATCTTTTAAGTTACCAATAGTCGTTTAAGTTTATATTCTTTTGAATTGTATATAGTTGGAACTATGTGACGTGGTCTTGTCTAATTATTGTGATAGCATATTTTATGTTGTGTTTTTTTCCTTTCGAACTAGAGGTGATAAATCCAAATATCCTAGATTATTAGAAATCATGAGTTATCGACGTTGAATGTTCTAAATTCCTTCGCGAGTAAAATTATTTCAATGTTTAGCACATGTCTGAAATTAATATATAACACAGGGTGATCAAGTAAGTTGACTTTCAGTCTTCTTCATATATGAATTTCATTATTTGAGCGGTTGAATTTTCGACTAGTTATATACTCGAAACTATAATGTTAATTTTTATTGATTACTATTATATGTATATTTTTATATTATTTATTGTTTTGCCGTTAAAATTTGCGTTGAATACAATCTACACGGAATAGCATTCGCTTTGTTATATAAAAAGAAAGGTATACATTAGTTGCATTACATTTATGTTTCAACGGTAATAATTATATTCAACACTTCAATATCGAATGTAGATATTGTCGTGAATCTTATATTTCTATTTATTTTCAGTAACATATTAGCATTAAATGTGTTCTATTCGATAAAACAACTTTTCTTGTAGATTCATGTTGGTAATATGCATTTAAATATGCACAACGTATTAAACTATTCGTGAATGTAAACGTAGTTAATGTTAATTGTATAGAATCATAATAGGATCAACTTTTATGTGATTAAATGCTAAAGTTTAGTTTCAGTAGAGACCACATAATGTATAACAAGAAGTTCGAATTTGAATGGTGAAGTGAAGAGGCCTATTACATCTATAATTACAGCATTGTTTCCAGAGTTATATTTTCAGAATGCAATAAATAAGTAACAACAGTTTGGAAATTGTCGACTATTGCCAAATTAGTTTAATCGCGGATGGATATAATAATAATAGTGTAACAGAAAGGAATATATTTAATCAGATATTAAGATAGATATATTTATTGAGGATAGGATTTATACTAAAAAAAAGAATAAATAAATAAAAATAAATATATTTACATGTTACAAATGCAATATATTGGAAGTTTGAAATGGTTAATAGAAACAAAGATGAATCGAATAACCGATGTACAATGTGGTTGATGATGTGGTTATATTGAATGAACATTGTAAAATAGAGATGTAATTTAAATTTGTAATAAATGTATTCAAAATGTATTCATTTGTGTTTATTTTCATAATACAATTATATAAGTTCTAGGAGAATTGGTTCATTTAATAGTCCACGCGTTACAAAGAATCATTGTTTACACGCTGGAGGACAAATATTTTTGCATGACCGGGGTATCACATTGCATCACAACTTCAGGGAAGAAGCGTATTCCCCGGACGATTTAGAATGAGATTAAGGATTGAGAGAACTGGATCGCCATAGATGCTGTGAACAAACAGTTGTTAAATATATGTTTGGTAAATCCTATTCACTTTTTTCATATGAGTGGTCGATGATGTAATTACCTTTAGGGGTTGTCGAGAAATTCACGAAAAACCAAAAGCACTGAAAAAAAACGAGAAAACCGTCATTTCTCTGTTATGTATAAAACGTTAAGTATATGTTTTTTTTTTCAATTTCTACAGCTTATAACAGGCGACTCGATCACAGCACGAAGACGTATGTAGGCTTGTTGGAAAGTCAAAATATTCAGCTTTCATACGAGTGTTCGATGATGTAACTATCTTAAGGATTTGTCGAGAAAATCACAAAAAACTGTAAAAACTTAATAAATAACGAGAAAAAATGTTCTTCAGCTTATAACATTCGACTCGATGAAACTACAAAGATGTATGTAGGCGTGTTGGAAAGGTGAGATATTCAGCTTTCATGCGAGTGGTCGATGATGAAATTACCTTTAGGGGTTGTCGAGAAATTCACGAAAAACCGAAAGCACTGAAAAAAAAACGAGAAAACTGTCATTTCTCTGTTATGTATAAAACGTTAAGTATGTGTTTTTTTTTCAATTTCTACAGCTCATAGCAGGCGACTCAATGACAGCACGAAGATGTATGTAGGCTTGTTGGAAAGGCAAAATATTCAGCTTTCATACGAGTGGTCGATGATGTAACTATCTTAAGGATTTGTCGAGAAAATCACGAAAAACTCTAAAAACTGAATAAAAAACGAAAAAAAAAATGTTCTTCAGCTTATAACAGGCGACTCGATGAAACTACTAAGATGTATGTAGGCGTGTTGGAAAGGTGAGATATTCAGCTTTCATACGAGTGGTCGATGATGAAATTACCTTTAGGGGTTGTCGAGAAATTCATGAAAAACCGAAAGCACTGAAAAAAAACGCGAAAACCTTTTCTCTGTTATGTATAAAACGTTAAGTATGTGTTTTTTTTTAAATTTCTACAACTCATAGCAGGCGACTCGATGACAGAACGAAGATGTATGTAGGCTTGTTGGAAAGGCAAAATATTCAGCTTTTCTACGAGTAGTCGATTATGTAACTATCTTAAGGATTTGTCGAGAAAATTACGAAAAACTTAATAAAACGAGAAAAAAATGTTCTTCAGCTTATAGCAGGCGACTCGATGAAACTACAAAGATGTATGTAGGCGCGTTGGAAAGGTGAGATATTCAGCTTTCGTAAAAAAATGCGAACATTACATAACTATTGTTACACAACTTTTACATTACTTTTGTTACGATGCGACATGTATATTAATGTATGAAAGTTATAAAGAAAAATAGAAGTTGGTCGTTGGTGAATGATGTTTTAAGTTTGATTTTTGATTGTGTAACTAAGGTATGATGCGTTTGATATATTTAAGATTAAAGTGTTGACATCTGTTGGTAATAAAATGGTTTCCCTTAAAACTAATCCAATAAATTTTTAAATAACTAATTGTTTCGCGCCAAACGTGCGTTCAAAAGATGGCGCGCCGGCTCTATTGTTTAGTAAAATTTCAAGATGGCCGCCGCAAGTTTGTGCAAATGAACGTAACGTCCAAAATAATAACAAAAAATAATGACGAATTCATCAATCGAGACTGTATTGTTGCAGCAGACGGATTTAAAAAATGCGACACACTATCATAGATCCACATGCGCGTGATTTAAGATGCGGTGTATGCATACATGTTTACATTGTTATAGGTAGAGAGAACACTAGGACCAGAATTCGCGACAGGATTCAGAAAGTTAGTGGTGGTCCCCCCCATTTCTTAAATCTAGTGCAAAAAACACCTCCCCAGCAAATGATTATGTGACAGACGAACGGTGATTAGTGAGATATCCTTTTGTTTCCTCCTTCAGAAGTAAGTTTGCATGATGATGATGATGAATGTGAGCCTTTCTTTATTCATTTCTGTAGCCTCTGAAATCCCTGCTGCAAAGCAAAGCGTCCGGTACGTTGTTGCCAATACCGTCTGAAAAAATTAGAAGAATATTGCAAGAAATTCATAATATGGACCACTATTGTCCATATTGAAACGAAGTTAATCCATAAATATCGCCTCTTTGAAATGAAATGTTCACGCTTCAAACGTTAGGCAATACGCGCTTCCAATGAACATCTAAAAAAGTATTTATTTATAAATAGCATACAAGATGATCACTTATTTTTATATTTGTATACTATTTGGATGTCAATAACCTCATTTCAATATTCAATTATTTATAATAACCAATTGTTTTCTTACAAATGTATACTACTGTCATAGGTCATGGTTTACTTGACTTGATTTCCTTTTAAATATTCAAATAACTATATAAACAAATTTATTCTAATTTTGTTATTGTCTAACAATAAATATTTATTTTGTATTAATTACAAAAATATTGATTTAACAATAACATTTTTATTGTAATAATTTAAAAACATTCTTATTATTGAAACAAGAAAAAGTTGTGTCAACAATTCTTCATAATTTGAAATTTGTTTCTGTTCTTTTATATTTGTTTATTTAATTATATAAAAAATACATTTTATAATAACCGAAAGATCGGTAATAACTGGATACGAACAACGTGGTTTGTGTGTTATATGAATGTACTGGAAATACTATTTTGTTTATTGTTATAACATACTACCATAATAATGATTACAAAGCAAAAGTCTATTCAAGTCCGTGATTCAAGGTCGTAAGCTACAACATATAATTCTAAACATTTTCGATTCGATCCATCGAATGTTTACATTACAATTTTAGGAATGATCATCAAATTTATCAATTTTCTAGTTGTAAAATTTGAATTTTTAACCTCTTGACCTCTTGATATAATTAAATTTTGATGACTCATTTGTTTTTATTAAAATTGAAACGAAATTACTTTTGCAATAACAATTGTTTATTAAATATTAAAAAATATCGAATGTTTGAAGCAGATTTATATTTGTTTATAAATCAATTTTAAATGAGCGCGATTCACGTGTTTTAATTTGAAATTCTGCTTAAATAAAGGAAATATGTTTGCTGAAGAAACAATATGTTTTTTTTTCAATTCAATCAATTTTTTTGGTTGATAAACCTACATCATTTTCTGTATTTTACAGAATTGAAGATATAAATGAAACTCTGCAATTAACGAACTTCCGTATACAAATTATTATATATTTCATCATTATTTTCGCTTATCAATATTAGATTTATACATTAAAAGTATTGTTCTTTATTTTGCATCGACTTCAATAAACCACTTGAATTAATTGATAAAGATTACATATCGAAATTATCATATTGAAAATGTGATTGTTTTATAATTCTCCTTAGAGTCTTTGTGGTATCGTGATTGAGCGAAGTCGTCGTGAATATTTGTCAAAAATTACGTGGAACAGAATTTTTTTTTCAAATGTTTGTTAAAAACTTATTTGTTCGTTGGAAATACAGGAAATAATAAAAACTATCTTTAATTATTTCAGATGGGATGGCTTTATTCAATAATATTATAATAACACAAAATGGATCCTGTGGGACCATGGTCAGCATATGCATCTTATAATCGTTTGACGGCGGGTGTGTCGGCGACTACGACAGCTGGTGAACTGCACCATTTACCGTCCAGTACCACTGGAGGTACACCACCAGTGCCAGCAACGACGACCACAACAACAACAACAACGCAATTACTTCCAGGAGGTTTCCTTTCATCACCTCAAGGTGCCTATGATGTGTTCACGCCTTTCTTCCATCATGCGGGCACGAAACCACCGGCACACTATGTAACGCAACGACAGTCATTAAGTAAGCAGCCAGAGGGTGAGTTTCACCAAACTCCTGCATTTTTTGAGCAGAATCATCCTGCATGGCAACAGAATAGCCCCTTCGGTATTCTTCCGCACGAATCAGTAGTGCCCACGACGACTGCCAAAGGCTACGAGAACTTCAATGCTCACTTTGCTGCGCAAAGTATAAACCACTTGAATTCGCTAGCTGCTAAGAATGCAACTGCAAGAGTCCAGAGCCCGCAGGTAACATGATCGGACATATGCAGATGTAGACGTCGTGATATTTACAGATTTATTTACTTAGGTGGTAGCAACGACGACTAAATCTCAAGGAAACGCGACGTTCTTTCAAGTGCCAGTGACATTTACAATTAGTGTAGACAGTTCTGTGAGTAAGCAGATTTACGCAACAACAAATGCCCAGAATATTCAACAATCGTGTATCGTCACATCAAGTAATGCATCGATACCTGGAAACAGTAGAGGAGTACCAGTCACCGGAGCGTCTTCACGGGCTGGTAGCTTCCTTCCATCAAATGCTGCCTGTATTGCTGTTACGAAACCGTCATCAGCACCACAGGTCCAGACGAAAGCGCAGATTAAAGTGTACCCGGAGATAGCTATTCAAAATGAACGAAATAACGATGAACAACAGCAGAGTAGTCCTATAAGTTTCTCAATGGATGCGCCAAGACTGAGCTATGCCAATTCTACAAGTAACAATACTAACAAACGGCCGTTTCAGACCAACTATAGGTAATTAAGTTTATGAAAATTTGAAAATGTACTGACAACAAAATGTGTTTAGGCACTACCAACAGGGTTCAAATAACGAAAGCTCTGACTTTCAACGAGTTGCCAGTGTTACGACAAATGGAAATTCCGACTGTAATATCGCTGTGTCAAGACGATCAAGTCCGTTGCTAGCTCATTCACAAGCATCACCCATTGGCCATGCACCTAGCCCTGTGTATCCACAATACAATAGTCCGATGAGTACTAGTATATCTTCTCCTCAAAGTAACAATCACATGACGCCACCAAGTCCGTTGGATGCATCAGTACCTAGACCGAGCCCACAAAGTAATATTGCGTATTCGAGCGTAATAACTAGAGCGTTAAATACTGATAAGCAATTTCCTGAACGCTTTGAGCGACAAAATCAAGTATGTTGGGAAGACAGGAGAAAATTTAATGCATACAATGCTACTAACACTACTGTTGATGTTGTCACATCCAGGTAAAATTTAATGAACTTAAATAAGTAAATATTTGTATGGTGTGTTTTTTTAATTTTATACTTAAGTAGGACAGAATCTGTTCCGAGACAAGCTGGAAATGTGACTATATCGGAACATCAAGCATATTTTGATGGTCAAGTTCCTTTACAAGATTTATCCAGCTGCCGCGGTGATCCTATGAGTATAGTCAAAAACTTGCAGCAACAGCAAAGTTGTCATTTGCAACAAGTGGAAATAAAACAGGAAGTTAAAAAGAGAAAAAGCGATGAAAAGGACTCACGTATGCCACCGCCTGCGCATAGTACCGGTGCCAACCAACCACCACCGCCTGTTCCACAAAACGGAACATTTTATTATTCCGATCGTTGGAATTTACAGTCTGCCTCTAAAATATTTACGTCACAAAATCTACCTCAACATCAGGGTTTAATTATTCATCCTCATGGACACCATCCACCACCGCCTATACCGTATTTCACACCTTACCATCTACCGACATCTCATCCGACGGAATATCCTTCTTCCGTTGAATTAACACCGTTATCAAATTACAGTGAGAGTCCCACGCAGACTGCACACTACCAGCAGCAAATAGATGCACAGCCTAAAGTTGTTGTGCCCAATATTGAAGAGGAATTGAAGTTTTTAAATGGATCTAATCCACTAACAATATCTCGACCTCCGCAGCTTCACCAAAGCAAAACAATTAATCCTCCAAATATTGCTAAGCCAGCGGATGTTAAATCCACCGGACCTGGTGCTGGGTTTATGAGTAGTTATATCAAATTTCTACAAGGAGAGCGTGACTCTTCTCCTCCACCTTCGGCAAGAGCTCCTAGAACGTACTCCAGGACGAAGATTGTTAAAGAAAATAAAGATTCCATTAATGGTGTGAAACCTATCCTTCCTCCAATCACGCAACCACCGCCCCCACCACCGGTGATTACAAGGCTGAGTCAAGGTGGGAACAAAATATTGAAATTATTATTTTGAACTATTTTATCAAATTTTCATTAGGAGATCCACAAGACGATCCTCGGTACTTTCCATTGCCGAAAGAGAGAAAGCAAAATAGTTTCGATACTTCCGATGACGGAATAAGTTCAGATGATGATATATTCAGAAAGATGCCGCCCTTGACTAAAGATGGTGTAGTGAAAACTGGCAAAAAGGGAAGACCCTGCAAGGCCGGTGGTCCAAAAGATAAAAAGAAAATTAAAACTAAAATTAAAAGCAAAATGAAAGTTGATAATGGTTCGTAATTAATTTATTTCTTGATTTTCTTTTTATTAAATCAACTTGTTTTTTTATAGTTACGGATATAACTGATGTTCCTAGACGAGAGACATGCAAACGAGCTGCAAAGGATAGAGTCCACTTGCAGAATATTATTACGAAAGGTGAAACTATCGACGAACCTGAAGATTTTGCAGATTCTGATTCGGATCCTGCTTGGACTCCGGCAGCTAAAGAAGACGTAGAAGAAGAAGTACCATCAAAGAAAGGAAAAAGAAAATTTGGTATTAATTAATTGATTTAATATAAAGAATTTGGTATTTATTCAAATTTATTTTTAAGGTGGTAAAAAAAAAGCCACCAGGAATTTAATAACAGCAGCTGCTGAAGGTGCTGGCATTCAAGTGGACAACATTGAAGATTACTTAAGTGATTCTTCAATGACTCAAACTAAAAAACAGAAAGCTGCATACCAAGTGCATAAAACAGTTAACAATCCGGCACGGACGCTGGAAGATAACATTGAAGCAAATTTGGTGCAGCAGCATAATAATATAGTAAGATCGGCACCAGTTCTTAATAATAACGGAAACACGACGTATCCGTTTAAGGTAAATGAAGATACTATAAATATATATTTGTATTTAAAGTTTATTTGTAGCCTGGGGAGTTTGTTGCCGTTGAATCTGAATTGACTCAAAATTGGCCGATTATTTGGAGGTTCGATGGCAAATCTCGATTACAAAAATATCAGCCGTTTATTCAGAATGGCAATACATTATATAAAAATATTTCAACGGTAATATTATGAAATTATAATTGGGATCAAAATTATATAATAAGTTTCATTCCAGTATACCTCATGGACACCTGATAGTAAAAACCAATATATTTCAATACCCGTTCGATTTCATTCACAAAACAATTTGGAAATAATTGTTGAATTTATGAAGCACGAAGTGATGGTTCCTAATCCGGAGTTCATTTCTAAGTGTATAAAAGAATGTGAAATTTATCAAGACAATTTTGAAGTGTATATTCAAACCCTTATATCACAATCTTTAGACAGCAATTTCCTTACAGAAATATTCCAAGAACAAGGTGATATAGCATATTCATATAAATTGATGCGTATTCTTAATTAGATAATTTCAGATGAGTATTTCTTATCGAATGTGAAGGTAATTGATGATATAACTATTAACAAGAAAAATAAACTGATTGGTGCTTTGCGCTGGCCTTCGCAATTGCAAGCGGCGTTATCAACCTGGCCCTGTTTTAATTTAACAAAGGATTTTCTTACTAAGGAAATATTAAGCCAGAATTGCGCTGCTTGCAAGCAACCTACAGTCTCGATCAGGTTACTTCTATATGGTCAACCATATAATTCAACTACTTTGGAAGGATGCGCTCCTGATCCCAAAGCAATCAACGATAAGGTTTGTAAAACGCTACAGTTTAATTCAAATATATAAATATTACATATTTTTTTTAGGACTTCGTAATGTGTCGACTTTGTGGAAATAATGTTGAACTTTTCAATAAAATTACACACCAGAAGTATCTGATGTATATAGAATGCGCTAAACGAGTTACAGATAAACGTACTATGGATCCAAGGAAAGATACGACTTGTATTTTAAACGAGTTATTAGCAGATGAATCTTGGCTGAATCAGGTACAATAGAAAATAATACAACAGAAAAATTAGTTATTAATAATCACATTTTAGTTATTTTCAATGGTGAGGACGTCTTGGGCGAACGTTGAGAGTGTTGAACGAAATTTTCTCATGAGACATTTGAAAAGTGATACAAACAGTGTTGTGAAATAGATATTTAAAAGAAAAACAAACATTTTTTAAAACCAACAAAAATTGTAAATAAGATGTATAATTATATATTAAAGAATTTATTATATTATATAGTATAAATCTAGAATGTTTTCGAAAGCTCGTGTTAAATCGAAATGAAACGCAAGGAAAATTAAAAGATGAATCAAAGTGCTCATAATAATTAAAAGTGATATTTTAAAATTTGAATTCGTTTTATTTAATATTTAAAAAACAGTTGTTATGTAAACATGTTCATGCAATTTAATATATCATTATACAAAAACTTGACAACGTCGATTGCGAATAAATAGTCCATATGGTTGAAATGTTCGTACTCTATAAGATGTTTGACCACAACATTTGGAAGTTCTTCGGTAAGTCTTTGTACATCCTAGAAAATCAATTTTAATATTAAAATTGTGTTAATATTTTGAAACATACAATTATATCTGATTTTAAATCATTTTTGGCATAATATAAAGCAACTGGAGCCGTTATTTGCGTTAAATTGTAACTGGGCGGCGTTTTTTGTTTGTACTTGAGCAAATTTTCAAATTCTCCATGATCGTACTGCTTAAATTCACCTAAAAGAGTTTTAGTTTAGATTACATACTATTGTCTACTATTTGATTTACCAGATTTAATTCCTTGTAAGAAGTGTAAAAATTGTTTAGTGGAAGCACCTGATGGTGAGTTCGACGCGATGACCGGAATTATTGTCTAAAATGTTATTAATTTATAATTTATGTTTTAAATTCATTTGCAATCCTGTAACCCCATTAATTTGTTCAACGTCTTTGCCAGTTCCACCACTCAAGAGGTTTTTACACGTGTCTTCAGTTTCGTTTCCATCTTTGCAAGCGTCCAGAGCTAGAAATCTGTAAAATTCGCTGTAACGGAACAATTCGTAAATATTGAAACGCTTCATCAACCACTAAAAGAAATCAATTGGTTACAAAAACAATAATAATATACAAAACAAATTTACTTCAGCTGTTTGAATAAAGTTTGACAATAATCGATACAAGCGATATTTAACATTTTCCACGTAGGCGACAGGTGCCAAAGACACGGCGAGTTTTATCTTCTTGTTGTATTCTGGACGCTCGGAAGCCATGACATAAAATGATGTTGTCCCTTGCGAATGACCCACATAAAATAGTTGCTCAGATTTAGTATTTTCTAATATGTAGTCGATCAATCTTGGTAGATCATAGTATCCAATTTCGTGCCAGCTGAAATTCCAATAATCTTGCTTGTCGACGTCCGGATCCAAAACGTTATGCTTCCTACTCCAAGTTGTGCCACGTGCATTGCCCATCCACACATCGAAACCTCTGTCAGCTAAAAGATAAGCTAAACTCTTCTCGGGACCCATGCTCACCCAATCAGCTGAACCGCCAAGAAGACCGTGCATTAGTAGCACGCTTGGTCTTCTTTTGATATCAGAGTTATTTTTTCCAGAAGGAATTCGATGCAATGTTAGTAAATAACCATCTTCTGTTTTAATATCTATGTGATTCTGGACGTGGTATCCATCTGCTGTAATAATTTCGTCCTAAAACATAAGAGTACATAAACAATAGTGAAATTGAAAAAGTTTAACATAACTAAAAAAAACTGAAATATTATTACGACTATAATTAATGGCTTTACAAATTTACTTCAGTATACATAGAATTTTCGTTATAAGTAGCATAAAATGAAAATCTAGAAACATAGATGATTTTTTTT